TCCATGAATCATTGTATTGCTAGTAAGTATGATATAAAAACATGACCTTGGATTGAATTTGTGAACAAACAATACAACAATATTTTTAAATGTGATGGATATGAACAAATCATTGCAAATATTTAATATGATGGAAAATAAATGTGGTAAATGAAACAGACATTCAATCCTACAGGCACTTGAATTGAAACTTGGTAAGCTGTAATACAAAAACATGGGTATGGGTATGGGTATGGGTGGTTTTCAAACAGATAGTTCTGTCTAAGCATCTATGGTGTTTAGAGTTATTAAAATAAAAAAAAATAATGGTACATTTTTTTCCCAAAATGATAAACGATAAACGCAAATAGGGATTATTATTCAATCACCATGTCTTAATTTCTGTTGTGAATTCCCTCTGGGAATCTCCTGAGTTAATCTGTATCCCACCAAGACTTTTCGAATTCCAGGTAATCTTCTTACAAATGGTTTGTTTGTACTTGGAATGGGTTAAAATTATAATGCCCATGATATTTTGAGTTGAAAAAATATGTTGCACTCAACACGCAATTTCCCATACAAGGTCTATTTTGCAGAAACAAAGATGGATGGATGGCTAGATCGGTTTAGATTACAACACAGCCATGTCACAGAGGGTCAGTACAATGAAATGTACAATAAAGTTCAAGTGAAAAATGGAGGCTAAAAATAGCTCGGATTTTATTTCACCATGATACACATTTTACAATTTATACCAATATTTACTAACGGGAATTCTTTTGTTTGTTTTTTTGCATCAAGAAATTAATTAATCAAAATAATCGTAGATAGTTATTGAAATATTTTGATCGAAATACATCTTGTGTATTTTAATTTGACATTCAGACAATACTTTATACCTCAATGGACAAATTTGACCTACAAAATAAAATACACTGAAATTCAACATAGAAAGAAATACAAATTAGAAAATCTCTGAAAAATTGATTAAACAGCAGCAAGGTTCTCCCAGACCACAGTTACATATTTATCTTTTAGAAAATTGTATTTTTTAAA